GGAACACACTCCCGATAGCCAAGGACAAACTAACTCCATTAAAAGGAGCGGGAGTCTATCGACTATCGTGTAGTTGTGGGAAGGTTTATGTTGGCCAAACTGGACGCAACGTCGAGTGCCGCATCAAGGAGCATGAGAGGGATGTAAGGCTGAAGAAGATCCAGCAGTCGGCGGTTGCGGAACATTGCCATGCAGAGGGGCACCGAATAGACTTCGAACAAACAAAGGTGCTGGCTAGGGACAACAGATACTACCAAAGACTGACAAGAGAAGCCATAGAGATTCACCGACATAAAAATAACGTCAACAGAGAGGATGGCTGGGAGCTTAGCAGAACATGGAAGATGGTGGTGAACACGAAGACCTCTTCCCGCCTCACACCGGACGCGACGCAATTAGTTATTAATTAGTTTGTAATTAGCGTTAACTGATTAGTAATTAGTTTTTCCGACTTATATATAGTTACCGATTTTTTGATCTCGTCACTTCGAACCAGTTTCTGAAGAAGGTTGCAACATGGCATCCGAAACGTCAAACCTTTTATTAAAAGACGCACGGCAAAACCCGAAAGTTTCTAGTTTTGGTTCTAATCTTAGTTTAATTCACACCTGCCGTGAAAGCCTTCGTACTTATTTTATTTATCTTATTTTTAAGGCACAAGTAAAGATGTTAAAATAATAGGAGGAATCGATGCAGAAAATGGTCAATTTCCGTATCAAATTTCTCTTAGATATAATAATCGTCATTCTTGTGGTGGCTCTATCATAAATTCACGTTGGATTCTAACAGCAGCTCATTGTATCCATAAGTATTTAAAATAAGAAGTATAAAATAATAATTTTTAACAAATTAATATTTTTAGTAACATCCCAAAAAATTATACGGTCGTGGCAGGTACAAACTTATTGGAAACAGGAGGAGATGTGTATACTTTAGAAAAATTTGTTGAACACGAAAGATATAATCCACAACTTCTCAAGAATGATATAGCACTTTTAAAAACGAACGAAGAAATTATGTTTAACGAGAACGTTACTATAATGCGATTACCCCCTGAAGATACTCTTGATGGAGGATTAAATTTTACATTATCTGGATGGGGATTAACAGCGGTTAAGTTTTAACGTAATATTATTAAACTTTATTTTATTTTTATTATAATTATTAAGATGTACGGCCAACCACCCAATAAAATGCAAACAATCGTTTTACAATCAATAACAAACCAGGAATGTTACGCCAAATATTTTCACTTGGAACTAGTTGGAATGTTATCTTCTTCAAATATTTGTACTTTAAATAAGGAAGGTGAAGGTGCCTGTTATGTAAGTAAAATGCAGTTACAAAAATTAGTACTTTGTGTTTATGCATGTACTATTTCATTAAAGGGTGATTCTGGAGGACCTCTAGTTTTCAAAGGTTATCAAGTAGGAATCGTTTCATGGGCTATTCCTTGCGCTAGAGGAAGACCCGATGTTTTTACAAGAGTTTATAGTTACATGGACTGGATTGAAAATCACACAGCTAATTCTTATTAAAGATTTGCTTCTTATTTAAAGGTTATAAAAAAATCGAATAAAATAATACTTTAAATTTATTTCAAATTTCTACCTCCATCTATCAACGGTTTTCCAAATTATAACCTACCTCCATCTACCGATCAAAATACAAACTGTGTTAAATAACTTCTTGAATAAATCCCAATTATCAGATGTAAGTGGGAAACAAGGCGAATGAATACAAATTAACCATACTCGTCGTCAACAAATGCCAATACATCGGTGTTGTTCTAAAGTGGGAGTGCCCCATACCACCTAAAACATCAATAATAATGCTTCTTTAAGACGAAAAGTAAGTGGTTTACCTAATAAACAAAATGCCAGCTATGAAGGACTCGAACATTGTAAAAATCGCTGTGGAAATGACCAACCAGGTCGCCCAGCTAATTGAATTCAATCAAAATCAACCCCTTGCCGGGATTATCCAAGAATTATGCAATGGATGGCAACTTTCAGACCCTGACCAATACGCGTTACAATTTAACGAAACCAACAACAGAAATTATATCACCGAAAAGAATCGGAATGAAATTAAAAATGGGCAAGTTTTACGATTGGCTGATTCTCCATCGAAAACCGCTCAGGATATCTTAAATAAATTAAATTCGGGGAATCTGGATGAGACTGCTGAAGCTGTCAAGAAATTGGTTACATTGAGTGCGGATATTACGTTTGCTTTGGATTTTATAAATAAACAAGGTCTGGCTTTGATTATAAGAAGAATTGAAAATGGAAAATCTAATGGGGTCGTTCTAGCAAATACTTTATTGTCTTTTGTGGAGTTAATGGAACATGGGATTGTATCTTGGGATATACTCAATGGAAATTTTATTACTAGAATCGTTAGTTTTGTAAACAGTAATGATAATGCTCGAGTTGTTCTAGCTTGTTTATCAATACTGGAGAATGTTGTTTTGAATAGTACAGAAGGATATAGCCAGGTAAGTTTAAAGTCAAATCATTGGAGAATTTCATATTGATTATGAACAATAGTTAATCAATTTCACATTGGGACTAAAAAAATCCTTTTTTTGCTCATTGTACTTCCAAATATTTCTACTCCATGTCTGGTAGAATCTCATAAATCTAAAGTATTCAAGTTATTGAGTGTAATTAACCCTTTGTGTCCCAAGAAGTCAAAAATGTTGAAACTTTGTAACAGAATTAAGACGCTATCAAAATACACTCAGTAAAGGCCTTTAGAATCAATTTTAGCAAAATATGCAATCCCGCCATTCCAGGGGGATAATGGTATTTCAGAGTACCGTCAAGCATTAAAATATATTTTAGTGATGTTGCAGTATACAAAAACTTTTATTGCTAATATAAAAATAATACACTTTTTATTACCTTGGAAAATAAGTAATATTTGCTTTAGCTAAATCACATTATGACATTCAGAAAAAGAGTTCTTTCACTACAACATAAATAAACATTACACGCAGTACATTTTGAGTGGGGTTTAGCTTTGGCAGAACAATTTTCACAACTTCTTAATCAGACCTATATCTACAGAACGACAAAAATCTGATAGAATATTGAGAAAAAACATATTAAGCAAAAACTAACATTTTCATATAGTCTATGTGTCAAAAAAGATGCTAATTCAAAAATTCCTGGAAGCCGTGTTTATTGAAATTATGAAATGAAACTTATTTTAAATTGAAGCTTAAAGCTTTCTCTTTAAAATGATGTATAATAATGGTTGTGTTGGATCACAAAAATGTAGAGGAAAAAGCATGTTGAAATTAAACTTACATTTTTGTATAACCTAAAAATGTCAAAAAGATACCAATTTAAAAATTCCTGGAAGCCGTATTTAATGAAATTAAGGAATGAGACTTATTCTAAATTAAAGATCAAAGCTTTCTCTTTAAAATGATGTATAATAATTGTTCGGTTGGATAAGAAAAATATTGAGAAAAAAACTATTGACATAAAATTTACATTTTCGTATAACAGTGTCAAAAAAGATGCTGATTATATAATTGAGGAAACATGTTTCTGTAAAACCAAGAAAAGCCTGTGCCACCACTTCTTGGAACAGCGGTCGGTTGCATACACTTGTCGAAGTTGATCTGCATGATCTACCGAACGCAGTAGTTGAAGGACAATCCTTTCACCTAATCCATAAGTTTGAAGTTTTTCTTCAGTTTCAGGAGATTTTCCCTCATACACATCAAATTTCTATATGTACCCTTTCTTATCTGCTAAGCACCAGAGCTTATAACCCCTTTTTATGGGCCCCTCTCTTTGAAGACTATCATGGATGCATCCACAGCCAACTGCCTAGTGCCATGATAATAACTGGAAAAGTGACGGTTAAGTATTTCAAAATACGGGCATATCTTGTATAGTTTATCCGTATTATTCTTAGAATGTTATCGTTGATATGCAGATATGATAAAATCTCCTGAAACCTGTTACGAGTCATTGTTCGTATGACAAGTGGTACATCCAAGTCTTCAGCATTACTCCAGAAGAGTTTATAGCTTGGCAAACTGTGATAACTCATTAAGAAATGTATGCCAATATTTTCTTTCAAGTTTAGCATTTTATTCCTTTGGGTGGCGTACAAATTACTTTGAAAGCTAACATCTTTCACACAGTTGCCCATCAGTGTTAGAAAATAATCTGTAGGATTAATAAAGTATCATCAATTATTCCCTCTGGATAATGGTATCCTGGAATTTCAGTCTGTTTTTCCCGTTTTCTCCATTTTCTATCAATTTCTGCCTTGTTCTTCTTGTTGAGCCCTTTGCCACGTATTTCTACTACTTCACTGTCACTTTCCTCATTTTCATTATTTAGTTGTTCTACTTCTTCATCTTCCAGCATAGGTACCCCACTAACACTAGTAATAACAATGTCATATTCTTCATCTTCTATTTCTCAATCTCAATATTGTACCTGTTATTATCCTGGCGGTACTTTTCCGTAGCAAACACAAAATGTACCTTTTTTCGGGATAAAAATAAGAAATGTTTGAAAATTGAAACAAATCACACCTAATAACCATTTATCAAAGAGCTACCTTTTTGAACAACAAAATTCAACAACACCACTTTTCACTAATCTTCTAACCTCTCATCTGGATGAATAAGACAGCTCTAAATTCATCGAATAGATGACTACAGTTTAAAATGAGTGTTTAAAACTACCGTCGGGACACAAAGGGTTAATTCAGACTCAGAAGTGGGATGTGCATCACTTTCACATAAATTGATTCATGTATTACACAAAGTTTTAGTTTAATAACAATATACAACAAACTAATGCTTAATAATAACTAAAACTAGAGCTAACACAAGCACTAGAACTAACACTAAACCTAACAGCTAAATCCTAATGTTTCTAGTTCTAAACAATAATTTAGCGCTTAATAACAATTAAAACTAGAACAAACACTAGACCTAGAACTAGAAAGCTTCAGGTTTAATTTTAATTTAATTTAATTTAATTTGCCCAAAAAGAAATATACATATAAAGTATATACATATCATATATATATATATATATATATATAGGGTACAGCATAGCTGATTACTAGAAAACTAGAAAACCAAAAATAAATACATATATATCAAAGTAATAACCAACAAAATAAAAATAAAAATAATTATAAATAAAAATAAAAATAGTTAAACTTAACATTTTGATTCTTGTTCCTCAAGAAGCCTGCGCTTCAAGGTGCATTTAAAAGATCTATTAGATTTCAACTGAAAAACATCTGAAAAGCAATTATAAATTGTAGGTGCTCTGTACGCAAAGCTACCACAAAATTTAGCAGATTTATGTTTGGGAATCGTCAATAACTTCGTTTGTCTTATATTAACATTATGTATTTGCGATCTTGGTACTAAGATACAATATAAATAATAAGGCAATTTGTAAAATATTACATTGTATAACATAACAGCTAGCAAGAGTGTACATCTAGGTTCCATTTTTAAGATAGAATATCTTATGTATTAGGGGGTAACATGTTTTCTACGATCAATCGAGTATGAAAACCTAAGTCCGCTGTTCTGAAGTATTTGAATACGATTTTTTAAAGTAGCTGATAGAAAATTGTAGTAAACGTTACTACAGTAATCAAGTTGACTTAGAATTAAGGAGTTAACAAGTCTCCATTTCAATTGTGGTGACAACAATGACTTAAATTTATATAACGATTTTAACTTATAGTAGCACACACCAATTTTCTTATTTACATGTTCCCCAAAATTAAGATTACTGTCGACAGTAAGACCTAAGTTGTTGGTCGATTCAGAGAACGCTAAGACAGTTCCATTGAGGTGTATAGGAACCGATAAATTATCGATTGCTCTTCTGCGAATGTTGGCCGACCCGACACACATACATATAGTTTTTTTCGCGTTAAGAATTAACCCGTTAACAGAACACCACTCACAAATATTCTTTAAATCAGAGTTAAGCAAGCGCACCGTGTCATCAACACTGATAATATCACAAGAGATGTAAATCTGCGCATCATCCGCGTATTGATGAACCGAACAGCTCGTCACTACATTTGGCATGTCTGCCGTAAATAAGTTGAATAATATAGGACCCAAAACACTTCCCTGTGGAACACCTTGCTTGACTAGGATACCGCTAGATATATTACCATTAATCTTTGTATGTTGAGATCTGTTCACAAGATATGACTGGAACCAATGTACAACGTCTTCTTTACATCCATAACGGACTAGCTTGGCTATTAGAAGCTGATGATTGATGATATCAAAAGCCTTACTAAAGTCCAGGAATACAACGAAGGTAACTCTTGAGGCATCAATGGCACAGCACCAATCGTTCACAATTTTAGTTAACGCGGTCGTTGTGCTATACTTCTCCCGAAATCCAGATTGGCATCGTGGGAGTAAATTAGTATGATTCAGGTGATGTACTAGCTGTGAAGCAACAATCTTCTCTAATATTTTAGATAAGATAGGTAACACACTAATCGGTCGTAGGTCTCCTAGTGACGTAGCATGGCTCACTTTAGGTAGAGGTGTTACTAGAGCGATCTTCCATTGTTTCGGATAAACTCCGTATATTAGTGAGAAGTTCATTATGTGAGTGATTTCTTGGAGGCAGTACTCCAATACAAGTTTTATCATTTTCAGATCGATTGCATCCAAACCACAAGCATTTGATTTTATCGTGCTAAGCTTATTTTTGATGTCTGTGTCGTTCACCACATCGAAACCAAAACAGTCGTTGCCACCCAAAATATATGGTTTATTAGAATCAAGGTTGTGCAACGACAAAAAAGGTGAAGGAATAATATTAGCGAAATAATCATTTATTAGCTCTGGATCTTTAAGTGATTCGTCGATTGTCTTGGTGTTCTTTGAGTGCACCTGATTGGTGTGCAGTAAGTGCCACAATTTTGAGGGATTATTGACGTTACTATTTATCTCTGCCTCAAAAAAAGCTTTCTTTTC